AGATGGCCATAGGAATAAGTCAACAGATTGAAGTTTAAACCTAAAAAATTAAGGAAAAGCAATATCCGCTTTTACTTACAGAAATAGAGGGAATCACCATATTTGGTAACTAAAATAGCTGAAATTGAAGGAGTTTAATCTTTGCCACATAAGGAGTTAGTCTCCAATTCCTAGTAAACTTATTTTCCTCAAGATAAACATTATAATTATTTTTCATAGAGTGCTTTTTCCAAAGAATTTTCCCATCTTTCTATCTTTCTATTCATCCTCTGTAAGAGTAAGATAAAACTGAACTCCAAGGAGTGACCTATTTTATTTTGAGGCAATGGGATTTGACCTAAAATAATAATGTAAAGCATTAAGCAGCAGTTTTTCCCTTTCTCTTTAGTGGGGGAGGAGGTAAGGTGAGGAGCAGGTCGTGGGGGAGAGTGGTACATAGGAAGACCAGAACTCTATTCATGTGACTGATGTGTAATACCTTCCAGCTCTGGAATGTTTTCCAAGACCTCAGGTCTTATTAAATCCAAAAAGAGGCACAGAGCAAATGGCAGATTCTGACCATAGAGACAATTTCTTCATGTAGAAAGGGGTGACAGAAGAAAAGATCAAAGAAGACAACAGTGAAAATATTTGCATGGGGGAAAAAGGAGAAGACTTTAGATTCAGGCTGGGGAAGGAAGAGAAGAAGCTGCTCAAAGAGAGAGGAGCAAGATAAACAGAGATTTGGGATTTTTTTTTTTTGAACTCAGGGGCACTAACCCTCTTGATCTACATTCCCAGCCCTATTTTGTATTTTATTTAGAGACAGGGTCTCACTGAGTTGATTGCCGTGTCGCTTTTGCAAAGGCTGGCTTTGAACTCGTGATCCTTCTGCCTCAGCCTCCAGAATTGCTGGAATTATAGGCAAGCACCACCGTGCCCAGTGTAAACACAGATTTTTAAGTGCTGTTTTGTACTTTATTCCCCTGCTGACAATACTCAGGAAAGTTTCAGTGAAGATCCACATTATGTTTCAATACTTTTTATACTTCTTCTAACCTAGATGCCCTTTAATGAATAGATTAAGAAAAACTGTGGTGTATATACACAATGGAATATTACTCAGCAATAAAAGAGAATAAAATTATGGCATTTGCAGGTAAATGGATGGAGTTAGAGAATATTATGCTAAGTGAAGTTAGCCAATCCCAAATAACCAAAGGCCAAAAGTTTTCTCTGATAAGTGGATGCTAATCCATAAGGGCGGGGTGGCATGGGATGAGTAGAGGAATTTTGGATTGGGGCTAAAGGGGAGGGGGCTTGGGGATAGGAAACATGGTGGAATGAGAAGGTCATCATTACCCTACGTACATGTATGATTGCACGAATGGTGTGACCACAATTTTTGTACAACCAGAGATGTAAAAAATTGTGCTCCATTTGTGTACAATGAATTAAAGAGCATTCCGCTGTCATGTATAACTGATTAGGATAAATTACTTAACTTAAAAAATGATTTACACTTCTTTTGAATGCATCTCCAAAAGCTGAGAATGACCTTAAAATAGGAACAGGAACGCCCAGATTTACTTAGTGTAGTTTGAATTGTTTTGCTAGGAGCTGTAACAGTGTGGAATCATCTATATTCTTTCCATTTGGCAGTTCTGGAACTGCCAAAGTTCTGGAGTACTAGGAAATCTGGATCTGTGATCATTCTTTAGAAGTTAGAAGGCAAGAAAACTTCAAGTCATTAAATTAAAAATGCCTTAAAGTTATTAACCCAACTAACTAAATAATTACAGAATAATAGGCTTAAATCCTGAAATAACCTTGAAGACCCTCTAATAAAATCCCTTCCTTCAAGCCAAAGATATGGATCAGGGAGATGAAATCAGTTGCTCATAGTTCATATGGCAAGTTAAAGGCTAAGAAAAGACTTGAAATCCAGATGTTCCATCTTTTCATTGGTTGAAAATAACAGTGAAATTAGTGTCTGCCATGTGTATCAGTCTGTTTTCTGTGGGCAATAGCAATATTATGGACAAAATTATCAGTAGGCATATTTTTTATCTTGTTTCTGGATGTTCAAAGTTGAGGGTCTGCATCTCGTAATGTCTTACAGGCAGAGTCCCAGGATGGCACAAAGTACCACACAGCAACAGACACAGAGAAAGAGACAGAGGCAGAGACAGAGATTCTGCCACCAGAATTCAACCTTCAGTCAACTGGGGCTCACCCTAATGACCTTATCTCAATCTAATCACATTTTAAAGACCTCCGTGCCATACACACACCTAGAGACATCATAGTAGGATTTTTACCCTTTAGTTGGTTATGAAATGTCCCTCAAATGCCCATATGGTAAAGGCCTGATCCCCAGTCCATGTACCATTAGGAAGTGATAGATCCTTTAGGAAGTGGTGCCTAGTGAAGGAAGTTAGGTCACTGGGGCCATGCTTAAGTGGGTACCATTACTCTAGCTCTTCTTCTCTTTGCTTCTGGTTGCCATGAGGTGAACAGGCCTCTCCACAGAACCCTCCTGTCATGATGCACTGTGCTGCCACATACCCAAAGCAATAGGGACAAGGGACCATGGACTGACTATTCCAAAATTGTGAGCCAAAATAAACCTTTCATCTGTTTTAGTAGGTTACTTCAGGTATTTTATCAGAGTAAAGGAAAGCTAACACACTTAACACCTCATAAAGGGTATTGGATGTGGGACACGATCAAACCGTATCACCATGCGTAAGAACTTTCCACAGATTATCTCATTTAATTCTCAAGACTATTGTCCCGTCTTACAAATGAGAAAAGTGAAATTCAAGAAGTAATCTAGTATCTTGCCCAAAATTTTAGATTCAGGAATACACTCCCTAACTACAAATTCAGTTGCTATGGAACAAGGGTAGAATAGATACTGGATGGTAACAAGTAAATAGTCATACATGGTTAAAACATTAAAAAACAACAAATTTAGGAACTCGGGAGTTTTAAAGTCATCCCTTACCTCATCACATTGTGGACTAATTAAACTACTAATGTACCACTTTCACATAACTCACAGATATTTGGAAAAATATGATTAATTATATAGTACCTAAAATTAATTCACCTCTACTGTTTTTCCATTCTTTTTCTCAGCCCCACAGTTTACGATAGGGTATCTAGACTATTAAACAAAATCTTATTTACATGAATGAGTACTGATCCAGTAGCCTTCCAATTGGGTTAATATTTCCTGTTCCATACTGGCTGGAAAGTGACAGAAAGAACAGAATAGCCAAAACATTTCCAGACTTAAAAGGAACAGTAGATAGGGGCTGGGGTTATGGCTCAGTGGTAGAGCGCTCGTCTAGCACATGCAGGGACCTGGGTTCTTTCCTCAGCACCACATAAAATAAAATAAATGTATTGTCTCCAACTACAACTAAAAAAATTTTTTTTTTAAAAAAGAAGGAACAGCACCTATACATACCCTTCATTTAATTAAATATAAATAGCCCAAGATTGAACTGTGATTAGGTTCTCCAAATATTACACTTCTGTCATTCTATTTGAGTTCAGTAATATTTTAAATTGATTATATCTGATTTTAAAGTCAAATTTCTCACCTATGACTTTTGGAAGAAAGGTGAGTTTATCTTTTAGAATAAGCAACAGTGGTGTAATCTGGGCAGGGAATCACCATTTGCATTTTGGCAGATGAAATTTAGAAAGATTATGCAACCAGGCCAACTAGTAATGAAGCTTGCTAGCAGTGGAGGTGAAACCTGAATCCAAGTTTCCTAACACCTTCCAGGGATAGAAAGAAGTCAAAGACAAGAGGAACAGGAAACCGCTCAACATGGGTGACCATTTTCACAGTTTCTTTTGGCCTTGGGCCTTTTGGGGTCACCTGGGCTCACTGTATAATGGAACATATGAAATTAACTAGTAACTTTGCTATTACACTGCAATCATCCATGACATTATATCTGCAGATTTTCGTATTTGGGGACAGGGTCTTGATCTGAAGCAAGGTAAAACAAAATTGGTTTACTATCTAGTTTCTTACATGAGATATTCTTGTAGAAATCAAAATATTAGGACCAATTCAGAACAGAAACCTAGGGGCAGCTGTTTGCATAAACGTCTCTCTCTCTCCATCCCTTTGTACTTCCTGCCCAACATCAGACAGAGGTCACTCAGAACACACACTCAGATACTCATTTTCTAGTGTGAGGCTGAACAAGGGTGACTAAGGGCACAGGCTCTGGGGGCAGAGATGGACCTGTTCTCCTGTCCTGGCTCTGGGAAGGGCTCTACATTGGGCAGGATTTCCAATTTTGAACTTGGTGTCTTTATCACTAATGACTACCTCTGAGTTGTCACAAAACATAAAAAGAGATTGTGTATACAGTGCCTGACGCCTGGTAAATGTTCAACACACACATACTAGGTTTGATCAAAATTGATCCTCTTGACTATCTCCAGTGACAGGTTCAAAGTGAGAAGTGAAAGCAAACAAAAGGCAGCAGTGACCTTAAAGAATCACCCATGTCTGTCCTTACTGAAAATAAAAAAGGACTATGTTCCAAGTATAGCATAGGGCGCTTTCATAGAACTCTGTCAAACTGACAGGCAGCCCAGATGTCCACCTTTTCAGATTCCCATGAGCTTATTTGCTATGCCAACCTAAACACATTGCTATCTTTGACTGGCAGTGGGCACAAACTGACTCTTTGCCCTCAGCCACTGGCGAGCAGACTCGCTCTTGATGCATCTTCCCTTCAAATTTTCTGAGTTACGAATGCTCTGGTCAAAGCTGCTGGCACCCCAGGTTATCTATCATTTTTCACTCCTCTATTTTTTACTTGCATCAGTATCTTTCTTGATGCCAAGTTCCACTATTTTAAAAGAAATAAACCTTAGTCTCCCATTACCATTCTTCTTCCTGAAATTTAGTATCAATGAAGAAAACTAAGAATCATTTTATGGAAATATTTAATAAATATATTTTCTCAGTACACATTCAAAAATTCCACTTGAGAATGGTGTATTTTGGTACCACTAAATCTCATGACAATGTATGAAACACCCTTAATTACTTTCTAAGATGTGTTCCTTTAACTGGACTAAAATACCACATATTTTAAAAAATAAGTATTCTGCACATTTATGATCAATAATTATTTGTAAACATTTGTAAAATTCAGAAAGGTAAGTGTTCTTTCCAGGACAATAAGCTCCAGGAGGGCAGGAATGGAGTTGTTCTTGTTCACTGTTGCATTCCCAGCACCCAGTCCAAGGCCAGACAAGTACAAGGCATTCTATGAGAATTTGTTAACTCACACACTTTAACCTTACTCTATACACTTTTGTGTAAAAATTAATGGAACTATCCTCTTAAAAGCAAAGTGTTGTAGCGAACTGTTATTCTGAAACCAAAAGAAAAAAAAGAATTCTAGGGTAGTAGTCTAAGCACTTTGGAGAAAGCAACAGACTATCCTGGAATTTATACAAACCAGAAAGGCAAAGTCTGGGTGTAGCCTGAAATACATCATTTAGAAAAGCATAATATAAAAATATTTTCTAAATGCATGACTCCATGTATGAGACTCAAAAGATGGCTCTCAAAATTGCAATGCTGGCTCTGCCAACATGTTCCCCAAGAAAAGCAGGAAACCATCCAGAGGCCGGTGTTAACTCTTGACTACATTCCAATGACCTACTTAAAAATGGATAAATGATGAAAGACTAAGATGAATACACATATTTTAGAACAAAGCTGTAAATGGGTGGAAGCTTACAGAAATGCTAAGATAAACAGCTTCTGTAGACGTTTTCAGTTAAGACGATTTTAAAAAGTTGAGTCTACAATTCAGGGCCAGTGATTGTAGAGCTGACAGATGCCAAAGGCAAAGAGAATTAAGAACAGCAGGGAACATTTATGGAGCACCTAGAGCGGCATATGCTGGGCTAAACGATTTGTATTTCTATCCTCACAGCAGATGAGGTTAAAAACCCCTGTATCTACTTTAGAGAAGATGAAATCAAGGCTCAGGACAATGAAAACTTGTCTATGTCTATACATTAACTGATAAGTACAAATGATCAAAACCCAAGTTCGACTAGAAAAATCTTTCCATTAATCCACACTTCCTCCTTGTTACACTTGAAAAAGTCAAATGAATGAATATTGGTAACTGAGAATCTCAAAAATATCGTGAAAATATTCAACAGCTGAAATGTGTTACAACTCAGATAAATTACATCTAGGGTCCTTGAGATGAGATCAGAATGGTAACCCTGAAGGGAACCATAACTAACAGTTGAAGGGCAGAGGCCACTGTCAGTTTTTAAAGGATACATAGGACAAGAATGAGAAGGGGTACATATACGCTGTTAGCCAGCAGTCAAGTCTCTTCTGCCTTTGTATCACCAGGATCCTGCCCAGTGGCTCATGCAGGATGCTCAGGAGATGTTGACTCATTATTATCTTTAGATGCAGGATTAAAACCTTAAGTCATGCAGATGCAAGACTAAAACCCTATTTTGAATAACTTCATGGGGGGAGAAAGTTCCCAGTTATAAGGGAATATACAATAATCAAGACAGACTTGAGAGGAAAATGACACTTCTCCATTCTCCTTTTGGGAAGTCATGGTTCCCTGACTTTTACTATTCAAAACTCAATACTACAGTGCTTATAATTCTAGTTCAACTACACTTACAGTCTGTTCACAGCAGTTATCATCACTGACAATGCTACCACAAGAGAATGAATTCCAGGTTCCAAATGACTGAGTTACAGTATAATCCATTTAATTGGAAACTACATACACTTACATCATTTTCTCTCATTTCAATCTTTTCCTCCAACAAAACAGAAGTTAGTGTCAAGTTCATTTGATAGCACTTCCGTAATTTCCAAACACTTTAAATTAATGAGCAAGTTAACAGAGGCAAATTACCTGCTGCAGTTTGGGTTTTAAATGTTCTCCAAAAGCGCTTCTGTTGGAGGCTTGGACCTCAGCTCATGACATTATTGGGTCATGGTGGAACTTTGCATGGGACCTAGTGTGAGGTCTTCAGGTCTTTGGGGGCATGCCCTTGAAGGGCATCTTCCTCTTCCTAGCTTTCTGGCCAGAGATAAGCAGCTTTGTTCTACCATATGTTCTTTTGATATGGCACCATGGGCCCAAAACAACTGGGCCAACTGATCATGGATTGAAACCGCCAAAACAAAACTTCTCATCAGTTGAACATCTCAGATGTTTCTATAGTAACAGAAAGCTAACACATTGCCCTTCAGTTAAACTTCCCCAAATCCTCTTTCTTCATCAGTACCAGTACAATGCAAGTTGAGTACAAAAGTTAACATCAAGTTTATGGACATTCTCTTTATACAAACAGAAAAAGTAGCAGTGAAAAGGGAGTAATATTGACATTTAGAATTTCCCTTCCTCTCGTGTATGTAGCAGATGCAGGGTGAGCATATTTCAGAATTAACTCCCTAGTATATTAGAGATACCCTTGAAGAATCTAACATGATGGTTTCACTATCCAGGAGACTATTACAGCCAGAAGGATGTGAAGAAAGGCAGTTACTGACCAGGTCTCAGCACGCAGAACAGCTGTCAGGTTATGACTCTGCTGCCACTAAAAGAACACAAAGAAAACATGCACCCAAATACATACAGGAACCCAATACCAGTGGTAGAAATTGTAACAGAAATATATTTCTCATGCAAAATAGGCCAAATGACAAATACCTGCACAATACAAATAAAGATCTGAAAATTAAACTTTCTCTTTTGGGGGTACTGCCATGATTCTGTGGTTTCAATGGGTGTCAATCCCATGTTAAACCTGCAATTCTATAAAACCGTGATTAAGAGTATAGAAAGCATATTTTGGAAGAAACCTGGGTGTGTGAAAGATTGCTATGAAAAAAATGAAAACAGGAATGATAGAAGTATACTTTCTTTTATATACAAAAATGAAGGCCCAAAATATGGTTTGTTGAAGTAGCTATCAACAAGATGTTAAATTATTTTTCCTTTGCTTTGGTTAAAACAGCCTTGGAACAGCAGTCAGTTCCCCTTCTACTAACAGCATATAAACACAGTGACAGGACTACTTTTAGTACAGAATAAACAACTTTCAAGAAAAGAAATTAAATTAATTTTAAACTAAATTAAACATTTTTACCAATAAATAATTTCTTTTAAAGTAGCATCTTCATCCTACAATCTCGGGCAGAACATATACACCAATTTAAAAAATAAAGTTTCTCCCACAATAGTCATTACAGGTGTTAATGTAACAAGCTATTAAATGAAATTACTTTAATGTACTTAAAAAAAATTCTAGCAACCAAATATGAATTTTAACAGTTGTCATTTTCTACAATTGTACATATTCTAAAATAATTGACTAATACTTTCTTACAGAACATAATTCAAACTATTGTTGGCATTTCAATATATTCCTAACGAAATGGTTAAAAGAACATTTAGTACACCAAATCTGAAACAGAATTTATAATTCTGATTTACAGCTAATAAAAGGCAATCAATTCCTATTTAAACTGTAACCAGTGATGAAATATACTTCAATAACAAACATTTGGTCTCACAATCTTTAATATTGGTTAAAAACAGTCTGATGTTTGTTGCTCATGGAAGTTACTTTAATCCAATGTGCAAAAAAAGGTGCAGCCATCTGCTTTTACTTGAAATACATAAGACCAACACTACTATTTACACACTTAGAAGATTTTTAAATTTATTAATTTAAGCAAGCATATTGCATCTCTTTTATGGATAAATCATGTGCCACAGAGAGCCTAAAAGCTGGATGACATTCCATTAAGCCACACAAATGTTTCTTGTCCTAATTTTGAACCTAAATATAAATCCAATTTCAAAATCAATTAAGAATTATTTTGATCTAATAAGTCTTGGAATTGTTGCACATATGAAAACCTTGTCTCTGAGAGCTTTCACTCCTCTCACCACTGGTCTACTCCACAAACCCCCACTTGTTGCAGAAGGACAATGCCCCCAAAAGAGGAACCTGTGAACCCAGCCCTAAGCACCAGCATCCTGTGGGTTCACAGGATGATGTAGTACGTATGACTACAGCTTTTGGGGTAGATATGGGGCAATCGAAATGGATGAAGAAACACTTCAGCAAAGCAATTATTACCTGTGCACAAAAATAATGTAAAACAGTGACAGAAAAAGTGAATAAAACAAATATAAATCTAATACCATTCTGCATTTCCAGAACTTGGTTTCACACTTGCGCAGTGTTCTTGGTCAATCACCCACCAGCATTTTCTGGGTCTGTATGAAGAACGTTTATTAAGTTATTCAAACTGCTGTTTTGACCATAAGTCACGTGTGACTATGACGATTAAGAAATCAATTTACTCGATTATTACTCTGTGCAGTGCACTCACAACGCGAGTGTAGAGGATTAAAAATAGAACAGAAGTCTCTCACCTCTAAACTGGACATAGGAGTTCTCAAATTAAAATCATAAAAAAGAAAGGGAGGGGAGCTTACTGGCAACAATAGACTAGACAAGACACTGAAACGGTTTGGTCAGAACTTAGGAACGTAATTTCCTTGACAAAGTTCTAAAAACACCTAACCAATCACTGCCTTATGTCCAGCAAGTACATTGCTCCATTCATTTCCATGAAAACATAATAACTGGCATTCGCTGATCACGATCAATGTAGTCCCAGTCTCGGCTTCCCAGGCGCAGCACTCGGGTCCTGCCACCTCTAGCTACAGGCTATTGTCTCCAACTGCTGCTCGGCTTCTGCAGCCATGGCTGCGGCCTGCAACTGTTCAGTCTCGCTCTGGATGGCACTGGGGGTAACCTGCTTCCTCTCGCTGTGCATATTGTTCTCATGTCTCTTCAGATCCGATGCCTTGGCAAAGGCCTTGGTGCAGGAGCCACACACAAAGGGCTTTTCGCCTCTGTGCCTCCTTTCATGGTCCTTAAGGTGGGACTTGTGTTTGAAGGCTTTGTCACACATGTGACATGCGAATGGTCTTTCGTTACTGTGAACTCTCTCATGCTTCTTTAAGTCTGGGGCACGAATGAATGATTTTCCACACACCTCACAACTGTAGGGCTTATACCCAGTGTGGATTTTTAGGTGTTCCTTCAGGTGGGCCTGGGTGGTGAACCCTTTTGTACACATTTCACATACAAATGGCCGGTCTGCGGTGTGAAGTTTCTCATGCTTCCTCAATCTGCCTTCATCAGAAAATGTCTTACCACATGCTTGGCAGGCAATCTGCTCCCGGTGGTGACCATAAAGTAAATACTCAAACTTCATGTCACTGGTGGCAGTCCAGCCTGGTGTCTGTTCATCTTTTACCTCACTCATTCCATCATTAAATGTTAAGGCTTGAGGGGTCTGGGACCCCAAATCTTTGGACTCTGGGGTCTCCATGGATTCTACTTCCTGACCGTAGCAATTTACTTTTCGAACTTCCTCGCTCCCCAGCTCTTTCAAAATCGCTTCCTGAACCCTGAGTGTAGTCGTAGGTGACTTGCCATCCTCTTGACTTGGGGGGGTGCCTTCTACTGTGTCATCTGAAGGACTGTCATCCTGATCCCCGATTTCTTCCACATCATCATCCTGAGTGTCAGCAGTATCTCCAATGGGGCGATTTATTTTGAGGCAATATTTACTCTTTGATTGGCCATTATTTTCATCAGGACTAGATACATCTCGCTTCTGAGAACAGAGTTTATCCAAAAATCTGATACCAAGAATCTGACCTGATGACATCATTAAGTTAACATCTTCCTTTTTCACGGAGATCTTTGCTGTGTACATGTAGTTCAGGACCTCTTCAAATATATCAGAACGAAGAAAATCTATCTCTATTACTGAAGAGCTATCTACCTCAAGCTTCTTGAAAAGCTTTTTAAAGTAGGTGCTGCAGGCGGCAAGAACACATCTGTGTGCTCTGAATTTCACATCTTCAACCACAATAGCAATATCACAAAATTCTCCTTCCAGGCGTTGTTCATTTAGTGTTTTCAGAAACAGAGTTTTATGATCATCGTCATTGTATTTAATGGTTTCAGACATACTGATGAAAAACTCCTATGAAAACATTTTTTAAAAAAGGAGTTTAGTAATCATGAATAATACTTCATAGAGAAAACACAGGCAGATTTTCATTTTATGACTGATTTTTGGAACCTAGCAATTTCAGAAAGTCAGTGTTAGGGATTGCCCAAGAATAAGGGCAGAAAAGACTGATGCCAACTGAGGGATTTCCGTACCGTTTTCTGTTTATCTTCAGTGTACAAAATATTTGTCTACTTACAAGATCAATAGCAACCTTCACAAAATACATGCCAAGCATTATTCTAGGCACTTTATATATTTTAACTAAATTCATGTCCAAATAACCTTGACTTATTCTACAGCCATTTAGTGAAGAGCTAGGACTCAAATGCAGATAATTTAGCTTCAAAATCCATGCTTCTAGATAACCAGAGGTAATCACAACATAAGTGAACCTCAAGGTTTAAGAAACAGTTTGGAGGCAAGAATCCTGTAGACCTGTCTATAGAATCTACTCTAATACCACACACAGAGAAGAGTTTCTAAAATAACTTAAGAGCTCTCAGTGTAAAGTTTTCTATACAGAAGAGAAAACCACTGACACAGAACTAGAAAGGGATGTCATTGCCAAAATACTCAGTGCTGTCTTCTAGTTTTTCCATAACAGTTTTATGTCACTCCTAAATGAGGGTCAAGGTTTAATGTGACCTAAGAGAAACAGATGACTTCTGGGAAAATAATGATGAGTGGCTTCATTCCCACTGGTCACTAACTGCCATCCAAATAAAAGTATCATCAATATTGGATGCACAGGTTGAATCTATTACCTGAAGTGCTTGGGACCAGAAGTGCTCTGGATTTCAGATTTTTTAAATTCTTGCATATATATAATATGAGATATCTTGAGGTTATGACCCAAATCTAAACATGAAATTCATTTGTTTCACATATAACTAATATGTATAGCCTAAAGATATTTTTATTTATTTATTTTTGAGTACTGGGGATTGAATCCAAGGGCACTGCATCTTTAACTACATCCCCAGCTCTTTTTATTTTTTAAGACAGAGTCTAAGTTGTTTAAGGTCTCACCAAGTTGCTGAGCTGGGCTTGAACTTATGATCCTCTGCCTCAGCCTCCAGAGTTGCTGGGATTATAGGTGTACACTACCATGCCCAGCTGAAAGTAATTTTATATAATAAATTTAATAATATTTTAAACAGAATTTCATGGTGTAGTATTTTCCACTTGTGGCATCATATCAGCACTCAAAAAAGTTTCAGATTTTCAAAATATTTTGAACTTCAGGTTTTTGAATTAGGGAAACTTGACCTGTTCTTGCTAAGAATTTTGAGTTATTTTACAAGAAAAGAAACTTAGAATTAGCATGAAGGACCTCTGTCACCATGTTAAAGAACTAGTCTTTTAAAAATAAGGTGTCCTATTTGTTCTCTTAAAAAAATTGTTTTACTTTTATTCAACATAATATAAATGTGAGGAAAACACAATTTTCCCAGAGAAACAGACTGCTATATATAATCAGAATTGAAAATATGCATTTTATAGCGAACACAAAATGATTTTTTCAAGATTTAAATTCAAAGGTATAATTACCATGAACAACTCAGGCAATTATCTTAATGCCTTAAACGCCAAAATCTTCAGATCAGAATAACTCTGATCAGGGGCACACCAGACCTACAGAGAAAAAGATAAAACAAGAGTGAGGTAACATCTTTCTCTATTTTGAATTCTCAACTAAGAATGCTGTCAAGAATTGAGTTAAAAAATAATAATAAAAAAAAACCCTCCAATTTTTGTGCCTCTTGACCCACTTCACACTGGGAGTAGCAAAGTGGGTGATGAGTATCAGACCCAGTTCTGAACAGATATGGACTAGAATGGGTGAGGACTGGGCACAAGGGACATGGAGGGACTGTACACTGCAATAGGAAGGATGGGTTGGAGAACCGTTAAGGGATTACTCCTCATTAGCAAAGCCATGTCCACACTTGTACACATGTGGACCACTACACAGATGGCAAACTCCAATAAGTAGCCCTTACCCCCATCATTTCCAGTTGGGTATGCAACCTTCTACATTTTCCTCTAGGCTTGTACAAACATATACATGCACTTATATAAAAAACAGACAAAGCTGTACAAGCACACATGTAGCATGGGAGGAAAGAGTAGCTGTTTTCTTTACACACCTGTGTGATATCGAGCACACTTGTCTTTAAGATTGAACTTGTGAAATCCTAGTATTTTATCTCTATCTCCACAGTCTCAAAGAAATTTAGCTTTTTAACTCTTATCCGAAGAACTCTTTCCTGCACTCCAATATCTTAAAAACCAAAACTCTTCCTCTACTAAACCATGACCAAATAAACTGGTATAGTAGGAGCACAGGACTGAGCTGTAATACAGTCCCACAAAAAAAAAAAAAAAAAACTGATGCAAACCTCTAACCTGAAGACCAAAGTTCCCTCTATAGAAAACACTAAGCCAACTAGAATACTAGGGGGGGGTGTTTCTCATCTGCAGTGTGAAGGCTGGGCAAAATTATTTCTAAGGATGCTTCTTACTTGACCATTTTGCTCCCTGTTCTTTAGGGTCCCCAGGGACTACAGTCACCCCCAGAGAGAGGGCAGTCCAGGGAGAAGTTTCCTACCCTGTCAATTCCTACTGATATAACTCTTGGGGCTTAGAAAATAAAAGTGCACGGGTCATACAGTGTCCATGTGTGTCCTGTGTGTGCGCATATGTTTTCCTTTTGTGGCTAGTGTGTATTTGGCTGTCCCCCTCCTCAAGATCTCTTGAGGACCTGAAAGGAGAGACCATGTGTTCACTGGCTCATTTTTTTTCTATAGAGATGTTCCAATTGCTAAGTTCAGATGAGTCAAACCGGAAGACAGCCATTGCCAGTATTTATGTGGGTAAGTGCAAGAAAAGATGTAGCCCCCAACTACACCTCCACAATAAAGCTGCCCCTTTGCAAATGCTCCCCAAATCGCGAGCACCCAGAGTCGCCCGTATGGAGCAGGGAGTGGGGCTTCCCGCAAAGCCAAACTTACATAAGCAGCCGCAGCCGCCACCCCTACCCCGGAGCAGCTGCGACAATGGCTGCCGCACGATTTCAGAAAGGGGAGGAAGCAGGGAATAAAGAGCAAGATCCGAGGCGCTTTCAAAGCGTGTCCAGCCCTCACTCTCATCTCTTTAGGCCTGGGACGTGGGGGAGTGAATAAAGCCTTTTGCATTCCTTCCCAAACAAAAGCTCCCGGCCTCGGAGCTGCCTGGTGAAAGCGTCACTTTCCCTTTCATAATCAGACTAGGGGCGCAGGCTGTCGGCCTGAGCTCTGAGCGCGGGAAGAAGGGGCCGCGGCGGCCCGGCGGCGCGACCAGCTCGGGAGCGGGCGTGCGGCCGGCTCCGCAGCTCCGCGCCGCGCCCCGCTCCGCCCGCGAGCCCGGAGCTCGCGCCCCGCGCACTCCCCGGCCGGCTCGCGCCGGGCCCTCCCGCGCCCTCCCGTGGCCGGGGGCGGGGGCGGCGCGCGGCCGGCTTCCCGAGCTCCGCGGGCGCACCCGGGAGTGCGTGCGCGGGGGTCCCAGCCCCCTCCTCCGCAGGCGGCTGGGGGCGGCGCGGTGGGGCCCGCGGCTCCGAGGGGCGGCGCCGGGAGGGCGGCACTTGGCGCCAGGCTCGGGCCATCCCCACCCCCACAGCGGTGCACTGCGGCGGTGCGAGCGGGGGCGGCCATGAACTCGGCCGCCGAGCGCGCGCGCGGGGCCGCCACCGCCTGGCCGCTCCCCGAGCCCGCTCACCGGCCTGCGCGGCCCCCGAGCGCCCCATCCCCACGCCCAGCCCCGGCCCACGCCCGTCCCCGCTCGCACCGCGCCGCGCCGCCAGCGGCGCCGCACATCCTGGAGCTGGCTGGTGCCCTAGAGCTCGGCGGGAACGCGCTTCTTCAAGGCCGACCCGCTGCGCCAGCCGCCCGCTGCCCCCGCGTCCCCGCGCCCGCCTCGCGGATAGCCCCGGCCCCTTCCGCACCCCGGCCCGCGCTTACCTGCAGCCTGGCACAGCCACAGACACTCGCCGTGGGCTCCCCGCGTTCTTTAGCGCGCAGGCCGGGACGGAACGGACGCGGGGCGCGGGGGCACGGTGGGTGGCAGTGTTTTGGATTTTTTTTTTTTTTTTGGAGTTTGGGGAGGGGGCGGGGTGGGGGAAGTCGTGCACGTCCCTGATGGTAGCAGCCCTCCTCCTTGCACGAGCACAGAATGTCTAGCCAGCCGTGAACACCCCCACCGCCCCCCCCTTCCCGTGCATGCGCGGTGCGGGCTGGGGGGAAGGCGCGCCGCCGGCTTGCGCAGGCACGGAACCCAAGGAGGCCTCCAAGTGGGCGAGCAGAGAAAGGGTTAATCCGGGACCTTGCCGACGCTTTCGGTGGTGTCTACGGGGCCGCCCCCGGAGGCCCCTGGCCTGCGCACGCGCGCGCACGCGCGCGACTTGGAGCGCGCGGAGCCCGCGCGCGGGAGAAGGGGTGGGCGGGGAAGGGGCGGGGCTTCGCTGTTGAGAAGCGTATGCACGAGCGCAGCCCGCGAGCACCCGCCCCGCCTGGAGCTCCCGCCTTCTGCTAAGACTCCTGGGCTCCCGCCCGCGCCCTGCGTCTTCGCCGGGGACGCGGGAGCCAGCGCTCCCGTGCGTGTGCATGTGCGTGGGCCTTTGCTGCCGCTGTGCGCGCGCGGGTCAAGCGTTTTGGCTTCAGGGCTTGCCGAGGCTCCTGGGTGGGATCCCTAGACAACTTTGCTCTTGATTCATTTTGGCCGGTGTGTGGATGAGCGCTTGCGGGCAAAGGAACTCGATTGGCGTCGCTACCGCATCTTTTATAAGTGGTTGTTTGCAGAATGAATGAAAAAAGTGCCATCTTTGATTTGAAGTGTAAGGGGTGAACCCAATCACCCAAGAGAAAGGGATTACTTCTGAATCAAGCCAAGCCCGCTCATTTAGCAGGGTATTCTCAAAGAAAAGTCATGCTGGCTGGAGGCGGTAGCCTTCCGGGAAGTCGTGGCCCTGGACTAGATTTCATTTGAAGCTCCATTAGAGTTGGGGGTCAGCTCAGGGCACTGTCCTTAAATCTGTTCTGGAGAAGTTAAAGCTCCACTACTGGTTGGGCCTGTGCCTGGCCTGAGTACCTGGGAAGTCCATTCAGCTCCCACGTTTTCGTCCACATTAAGAACAGGAAGTTGGATTGGAGCACTGCAGATGGCCTTTGAGTTGGTCTTTTATCACGATTTAACAACGTATTGCAGAAACATGCATAATTTAATATATGAAATTAGAGCGTACCTTCCTCTTGAGCTTGTATGCAAATTAAAGTAATGCTTGTTAACAGGGTACATAAGTAAAAAAGAAATGATATTATGATTGCCTCCGGCCCATGTCCCTGGCTGGAGATAGAAATGGGGTTCTTCTCCGTGGTACGGGCTGGCTGAGAAATAAAAGCTAAGAGAAATAAAATGGCGAAAAACGACAGAACACAGAAAGTAGTTTCAGAAGCAGAGGCCAGGACGGGCAAGCTGATCAGAGATCAGCTTCTAGACAAAATGGAGCCATGCCTGCTTTATTTATATAAGGAAACGTCAAAGAGATTTTATAGAATGGTCTTTTCCAAAAAAGGTTAAAGGTGGGCTGTTCAGTTCCTAATGGGTTATGCCTATCTCCAGAGCTACTGTGAGGAACCTTCCTAGCAGAGCAGAGGGAAAGATCACATGCATTGGGCAATCTATTGTGGGAGAGCCACCCAAAGTTCCCAATGCCAGACCGCTCTCTCCCTGGCTTCCATGCTGAGAGAAGATCCTCATGTATTTCACGGAGGGCTTCCTGAAGTTGCCCATATTTTCTAAAGGAAATTCTGTATGCCCTTGGTTGATTTTGTAATGTCAACCGCATTGGTTTAACATTTCCCAAGGTGCTTTTGTACACATCTTTTCCAGTGCTCACAATAGCATGTGAGCATGGGGTTTAGTGAATCTGTTGATGGAGACATGATAGAATAGAGGGGTTCTAGAGTTAGGCACATCCAATTCCAGTAGTGGTTAAGCTGTTTAACTTTTTAAAACCTCAATTTCTTATTCTCTGAAATGGAGATGTTAAAAAGAAAAAAAAGGCACGTAATAAGGCAGTTACAAGGATTGAGTGTAATAATACCCAGGTAAGTGCTAACACAAATATTAGCTCAAAAGTGTTAAAAGGACCTGCATCCACAGATGGTTGATTCCAGTGGGAGGGGCAGGCCCAGACCCAGAACATCTGTCTCCAGAGTTCATCTCATCATACTTGATCCCCTGTGAATACTTGCTTGATTCTTGTTTGCATAGCATGTACACTTCAATTCTGTTTCTATTTATGGGAGAATAACAACAGTGTGTTATGGTATAGGGTTATGTCATCAAGCAATCAAGCCTGACATTGCAGTTACTGTCTGTGAACATGGCTAGCTCTCAGAAATGTTCATTACTTCTGCCCCCCCTTATATCACGCATGGACATTTTTATTCATTCTGCTTTTGTTTATTATCTGCTTACTGTGTGAAGACAATCTTTTTGCCTATGGCTAGGTTAAGTCTTCTCACGTATGATTAATCTGATGAAATTAGAATAATTCTGAAAAATGTCAAGGTAGAATGACACACTCTTGACATGTTGATTTTGTATCAGTTATTCCTTACATTTATGTTTGTGTCACCCAGGCTCTGCCTGGCTTTTTCTTGCTTGGTCATGAAGTTCATGGGGATGAATCTAAATTAAAGATACAACTCCATAGGAAGGAGGAGCAAGAGGTGGGAAAACAAAAGAGAAGGGCCTGACCCAGACTCTCATCTGTGTTCCCACACTTAATCATGTATCTCCCAACACTCATGAGGTTCATAGGAAACATCAGCTGACAAGTGCCAATTTAGGGGAGTTAATCAGGATCAGAGCCTTCCTCAAATAAGCATTTTTCCTCTCCTATAGACTGTCATCCTAGGTGATAGTTAGGATCCAGTAACTGCTGGGGGACACTCAGAGCATGTTGACCCTCACTAGGGATGTCCATGGCCTCCTGAGTGGAACCTGTTTCTGAGGATTGTGAAGCCTGGGCCTGTGGTGTGAAGTGTGAGGTGCTAGGGCCTGGAGTGTGTACAAAGCAGCCCCCTAAAGATTCTTGGGGGCTCGGGAGGCTAAGGCAGGAGGATCGCAAGTTCAAAGCCAGCCTCAGCAAAAGTGAGGCGCTAA